ATTACTTAATGGCAATTCTGAGAGAGGCATGGCAGTATTGTCTGAGCATTCAAGTGCATCCAAACCAAAAAATACAAAAAGTAATACAGTATATTGCAGCATGCTTGTTATTTGATGTGATGGCTGCATTAGTTTTCTTTATCAGGCTTTTTTATCTTTATTTTCACCTGGTGATCCTGCAAATAAAATACTTCCTGTCTTAGGGCGGCATTACTCATTCACTGTGCTGCATCTATGGAGTAGCAGAGTTGTCATCCTAGGTCAGAAAGTGTATTAGGACTACAGGATACCTCCCCATCTCCTCTTCTACATAACATATGGGCAAAGTGTTTTTTAGTCCTAACACAGTCCCCCATAACATTGTTTGCAATAACACTGCAGAGTGCACACGACAGTACTGGATTTATGGCAGGATCAACAGTTTTTTGCACAGTTTGAACAGAAAAAAACCCAAAATGCTTTCAATGATATATTTGACAGACCAAAAAGGGCAAATAAAACAAGTTCATTTTTAGGGATTAAAGATTGTACACATTAACCTGCTCTGAAACCCCTTGTATTCAATTTATGTTACACTAATTAAGTGAAAAATCTGTGGCAGAATCTGGTCCTGATGAGGAAAGAACAGCACAAAATCAATTGCTTTGGAGATTCCTGAGTATCGTACTAATATGTTTATTGAAGTAAACCTGTCCAGAGAGAAATACATAGGCTACCGCTGCTGACCTCTCCATCCTGATAATATAATATTCAACAAAAATGTGAAGCCACACTTGGCTGATCCCATAGCTGCTGAACATCTCTATTGATCCCTCAGAGACAGAGACACTCCACCCACAACCTCCCATGGGTGAAATTCCCTAGCGGTGTGCAGCTTTTTGTATGTGAAATCAAGAGGGCTTGTGATGGAAAATAATGATTATCCACCACAACAGATGAGGGATTCAGGACATCTGGGTGGTATGAGGGACCTGTGAGTGAACATTGAAAAGTGTCTTCTGCATCAGTGTCTATTAAACTAAGTACCAACTGGCTGTACCCAGCCAGGCCTGAATTGGTAGATGGCACTGCTTTCTTCTGGTTTGCACTTACTCCAGACTGATTGTTTGCTCCTGTCTGCTATCACAGAGTGTCCAACAGTGGTGCCTAATGTCAAAGGGCGTAAATAACTTGGGTTGACCTTGAGGAGAGGTACTTTCCCTTAGGCTGAAGTGAGAAGTGCTGTCAGTAGTCTGTCCTTTTAGGCCTGCTGTTGAGAAGGGCATAACGTGCATTTATATGGTCTAAAGGTCTGGATTTGGGCCAGAAATGATCCTGCTTGATAGTGAAGAAAGTTGATCCAAGATGGGTTGTCAGAGAGAAAATTCTGAAGGGTGGAGATACGAAAAATCTTGACCCTCACAGATGCCTGAAGGATCTCTTGGGAGGATGCACAGATAAGTCTGCTAGTCACTTTTAAATTAATGGTAGCCAGTGTTTTATAGTCCCCCATCACTAGCCATACACCGATAGCCATAACAGCCACCCACCTAATATTCAAACCACATTCAAGCCACATATTTGTGAACCGACCAAAAAGCAGGGAAGCTGAAGAATTTATCTTCAATGGACATATCCAGGAACTCAAGGAATTGTGAGACTGGGGCCTGCACCTTCATCTGAGCATGTTGAGCAAATTGGTTACTCTGCTACAAAGTCACTGCCCCAGAACAAGTAAGCTGACAAGGAGTTCTGAATTTGCTTTGATTTTCCTGAATGCATTCTTTTTCCAGGTGAGGGGCTTATAAAGGATTATAACCAGAGACACAGCTGGACATCTAAGATTTAAAGGTAGTTAACAATGGAAGCCTACACATTTCTATCAGTTAAAGTTTCCTTTAACACCTCAAATTTCATCCATTTTTTAATTCTAATTGCTAGAATAAGTTGCTTTACAATGCAGAAAAAAACCTCAATCTCCGCCATTCTATATCCAGGCCACAAACTTACAAACTTAATGATAAGACCATATTTTTTTCTAGCAATGAGGATTATTTATCAAAGCTGGAGCGTGCAAAATCTGGTGCAACTCAGCTTCCAGGTTTTATTGCCAAAGCTTAACTGATCAAGCTGAAGTTAGAAGCTGCGTGGCTACCATGTATAGCTGCACCAGATTCTGAGTGCACCACTTTTAGTAGATCTCCCCCAATGTGTATATTGCCATTGGTAAATTAGAGTTAAGTCAAAATGTTTCTTCTGTAAAATATTCAGTTTGCTTTATGCTGTCCTTTCAAATAAATTTAGTTTCACATTAAAAGCTCTACATAGCAGAAATAAGGTAAATGCATTTTTACAGGGCAGCCACAGGCAACAAGTAAAATCAAAAACCATCTCCTTCTAAGCACGAAGAAAAGACTGCTATGAATGGAAGTCTTGTTCACTCTCTGGTATGGCCCAGAAATGTTTTCCCTCAATATAAAGTGTATTTATAAAAAATAATTGCATAGCAATTCACCTAGTGAAAGTGCATTCATATTCTAACTGTGCAAATAGGGAAAATAAGTGCCATTTAGTGACATTTAGTTGATAGATGGTGCCAAGTATCAAAGAAATTTCCTATGATTCTTAGCGCCATCTAGTGACCAAATTCGGTATTTTCCCCTTTAACTTGATGATAGACATTTGAACAGCACAGGAAAAAACTTAATAATGTTTGTTTCATCCACACATAACAATTACATGCACTTTTACTGGGCAAATGGCATAAACCATATGTCTCTTTAAAATAAAAAAATTAAAAAAAAAAAGATAACATGTACTGAACTATGGTGCTACAGGTGGATCTTGAAAATCAACTGGACAAAAGAGGCCATAAATGAGGTGCTGCAAAGAGTCAGTGAAGCAAAACCATGCTTTCTGGAAAGAATATTAAAGAGTAAATGCCAACCCTTTGGCCATCTCACAAGAAACTCAGCTGGAGAGGAGCTATGCAAGATTGTGAAAGACAGGAAAATAAAGAAAAGGAAATTGATAAGAAGGATAGGATGTTTAGATGACATCCAGGGAATAACAGTCAGCCATACCTAAGACAACAGTAACTGGTAGCTTGGCAAAAGACAAGGCCAAATGAAAAGTGATAATGGAGGCAAAGTTTCATATTTGAAGTTTGACAAAGATCACAAGCCATTATCATAGTGGTAATGGTAACAATCAACTGCAATTTCAACTGGGTTTCAATATGCTTTATTTAGAAAGAGTAGTCCTACCTGTTCTACGGGATGTCCGTGTTTCTAGATGCTACACTTGCAACTAATGGTCCTATGCTATTGTAGATTTTATGATAGCCATAACAGATATTTCTATGTTTTTGGGTATCTTGCTCTTTGCCCCTAGCTGAACCTTATTGGAAGAATAGGTTATTGCTTTTTTGTACCATAAGCCTAGCAGGGGGGTATCTGTGCAATCTCTGCTTGACAAGCATGCTTGGCCAATTCACATAGACACATCAGTCCAGCAGAACTAAAAATGTATTCATATGTAGCACCCTCTAGGTAGATAGGATTTTTTTTGGTGAGTCAGAGGCTTGCTAGAAGTCTGGGATGAGTCACCCTGGGAGTGAGACAGTGACGTTACCTCAGGTTTTGCTGGAAGGCTCTCCAGGTCAGGGCTTCTGGAGCCCTCCCACCCTTCTAGAAACTGCTGGAACTTTCTAGAAGAGGGGCGGAGGAGGGGAGGATGCCTGGATTGCATGTTTGAGGGAAACTTGCCAATCCCCAGGTAGGAGGTCTGGCATGGTAGCTATTACAACCTTTAAATGTAATAGAGCCTGAACAACAGGGGAGTTGGAGTCGGGTGGAAGATGGATTAAAGGAAGGTGATGGTGTGAGGAGCCTGGGAGGGGCCCCAGCAGAGGGGGAGGCTACCTACAGCAGTGGTTCTCAACCTTTATAATGCCGCGACCCCTTAATACAGTTCCTCATGTTGTGGTGACCCCCAACCATAAAATTATTTTCGTTGCTACTTCATAACTGTAATTTTGCAGTGGGAGGAATAGTGCCTCATCATTGGTATCAGTGGGAGGAATAGTGCCCCATCATTGATATCAGTGGGAGGAATAGTGCCCCATCATTGATATCAGTGGGAGGAATAGTGCCCCATCACTGATGTCAATGGGAGGAATAGTGCCCCATCATTGGTATCAGTGGTAGGAATAGTGCCCCCATCATTGGTGTCAGTGGTAGGAATAGTGCCCCATCATTGGTGTCAGTGGTAGGAATAGTGCCCCATCATTGGTGTCAGTGGGAGGAATAGTGCCCCATCATTGGTGTCAGTGGGAGGAATAGTGCCCCATTGTTGGTGTCAGTGGGGGGAGGAATAGTGCCCCATCGTTGGTGTCAATGGGAGGAATAGTGCCCCATCATAGGTGTCAGTGGGGGAATAGTGCCCCATCATTGGTGTCAGTGGGAGGAATAGTGCCCCATCACTGGTGTCAGTGGGAGGAATAGTGTCCCATCACTGGTGTCAGTGGGAGGAATAGTGTCCCATCACTGGTGTCAGTGGGAGGAAAAGTGCCCCATCACTGGTGTCAGTGGGAGGAATAGTGCCCCATCACTGGTGTCAGTGGGAGGAATAGTGCCCCATCACTGGTGTCAGTGGGAGGAATAGTGCCCCATCATTGGTGTAAGTGGGGGGAATACGGCCCCATTATTGGTGTCAGTGGGAGGAATAGTGCCCCATCATTGGTGTCAGTGGGAGGAATAGTGCCCCATCATTGGTATCAGTGGGAGGAATAGTGCCCCCATCATTGGTGTCAGTGGGAGGAATAGTGCCCCATCGCTGGTGTCAGTGGGGGGAGGAATAGTGCCCCATCGTTGGTGTCAATGGGAGGAATAGTGCCCCATCATAGGTGTCAGTGGGGGGAATAGTGCCCCATCATTGGTGTCAGTGGGGGGAATAGTGCCCCATCATTGGTGTCAGTGGGGGGAATAGTGCCCCATCATTGGTGTCAGTGGGGGGAATAGTGCCCCATCATTGGTGTCAGTGGGAGGAATAGTGTCCCATCACTGGTGTCAGTGGGAGGAAAAGTGCCCCATCATTGGTGTCAGTGGAGGAATAGTGCCCCATCACTGGTGTCAGTGGGAGGAATAGTGCCCCATCATTGGTGTCAGTGGGGGAATACGGCCCCATTATTGGTGTCAGTGGGAGGAATAGTGCCCCATCATTGGTGTCAGTGGGAGGAATAGTGCCCCATCATTGGTATCAGTGGAGGAATAGTGCCCCATCGTTGGTGTCAGTGGGAGGAATAGTGCCCCATCGTTGGTGTCAGTGGGAGGAATAGTGCCCCCATCATTGGTGTCAGTGGGAGGAATAGTGCCCCATCGTTGGCATCAGGGGGAGCAATAGTGCCCCAACATTGGTGTCAGTGGGAGGAATAGTGCCCCGTCGTTGGTATCAGAGGGAAGTATAGTGCCCCATCGTTGGTGTCAGTGGGAGGAATAGTGCCCCATCGTTGGTGTCAGTGGGAGGAATAGTGCCCCATCGTTGGTGTCAGTGGGAGGAATAGTGCCCCATCGTTGGTGTCAGTGGGAGGAATAGTGCCCCATCGTTGGTGTCAGTGGGGGAGGAATAGTGCCCCATCATTGGTAATAATGACACCAATGATTGGGCACTATTCTTCCCACTGACACCAATGATACTTACCTTGCTGACCCTGCTCCAGCCTGGGCTCGCACCCTCCCTCTCCCATGGTACAAACACTTACCAGTCAGATGGCTTCCTTCTCCGCCGCTTTCCTCCTCTTCACTCGCTCGTGCTGAACAGCAGAAGGGAGGGTGGTCAGGTGCAATATCCAACTAGTTCTCATTGGAGACTACTCTGCTGTAGATCTTGGAAACCCTTGCCCAGGGATACCCTCAGGACAACCAGGTGAATGAGGAGAGATTCATCTGGGGTCTGAGGAGGTTCACCAAAGGGTACTCAATGCTCCTTGCTAAAGACTGTTGTTGATTTTTGGTCCACAGTTGTACAGTTTGCTAAGAATTTGTCACCAAAGTTCTTTTTTTATTATTTAAATATTTTTATTGTTTTCAAATCACCATATCAAATGTACAAAAGCTAATAAAACAGACAGCATACATTACACATTTCTGTCATAACAATCCGCATAAATAACCTTTATTTTTACCCCTCACCCTCTCCCCTCCCACCCTTTTTCCCAAACCTCCCCTGCCCCCCACCCCTCTCAGCCCTAATTATGCATTTACCTGCTCTTTTAATAATTCCTATTCCAAACTTGATATTACTTTTAATAATACAGTTATTGCACATATTCTAGGTATAGGTTTGATTTTTTTAATTTTTCCCAAATTTTCCCACCTTATACGGAAACCTCCATTTTATCTTCCTCTATATGATAAAGTTCCTCTATTCTATACATCTTCTCCACCCTATCCACCCAGTCTTTTATTTTCGGTACTTGTTGTTCCCTCCAAAACTGGGTATCAAGCCCGTTGCTGCATTCAAGTAGTACAATAGCCCAGACTTTTTATATTTTTTTACTGAAAGCTCAGTACCATAAAAGAGACAGGTCTCTGGGTCCTTTGAGATATTAATCTCCGTTATTTCTTGGATTAAATGCACAATACCCCCCCCCCCCCCCCCAGTATTCTTGAATTTTGTGACACTCCCACCATATGTGAAACATTGTACCTCTCTCTCCACATCTACGCCAACACAAAGGTGAATTGTCTCCACTTATCCTGTGTGCTACACTTGTTATATACCATCTTACCAAACACTTAGAACTCATTTCAACCTCTCTCATATTTACATTTCCGTTGAATTAAACTGTATATTTTCTTTTGCTCTCCCTCATCCATTTTTACTCCTATGTCCCTTTCCCATTTCTCTATAAATATTGGGTCTTTACCCATGACTAATCCTGTGAGAATCTTATACTGTATATTTTTGAAATCCCATGCTTCCCATCTCCCCATGAATCTACTAAGTGCTCAAAGGGGTTCCAATCTTCTTTTTGTCTTAATGATTTTGGGAGGTTCCCTATAAAGTGTTTTAGTTGACCATATCACCATTCATCCATTCTGGAGAATATTTCCCTCTTACTTTCTAATGCACTAAGTGTGCTTATTTCCTCCCCCTTCATTATATCTCTTAATTGGGCATCTTTCTTCTGTATCCATTTCCCTGTGATACTTTCTTTACCCGTGGAAAAAACTTAGTGAATCCTAGAGGCATTAACAGTGAATTATATTCCCATCCTACTTGTTTATGTAAAGCATCCCAAACTCTTAAAACGTTACGTGTAAACAAACTTGTGTTTTCTGTTAATCCGTGATACTGAGGGGGTAACCAAATAATTCTACTTAAATTCGTGTAACTTAATGTGTTTTCTATTTTTACCCAACTTTTCTCCTGTGCATTAAATGTCCAGTCATAAATTCTCACCAAAATTACTGTGTTATAATATCTTTTCAGGTCTGGTACTCCCAAGCCACCATTCTCTTTATCTCTACTCACAATTTCATAACTTATTCTAAGCTTCTTGCTCCTCCATATCAATCTTGTTAAAATGTTTTTAATTATTCTAAAATACCCCTCTGGTATTTTGATTGGTATCATTTGAAATTTGTAAAAGATTTTTGGAACAAGTATCATTTTTATCAGGTTTATCCGTCCCACCCATGACTGAAATCCCCATCCTAGTTAATAATGGGATGTAATTTATTCTGTATAGGTTTTTTAAAGATACAGTTAATTTTATACCAAGATATTTTAATTCTCTTTCTCTCTCCAAACAAAGGGGAATTCCTCCTGTAACTTTTTTTTCTCTCTGTCTGTAAAAAGGTTTATATTTAAAATCTCTGTTTTAGTTGGATTAATTTTTAAACTTGACACCTCGCCATATTCTTTTAAAGATTTCATTAAATTTGGCAATGTTATCCTTGGGTTTCCTACATAAAACAACATATCATCTTCATAAGCTGCCACCTTATGCTCCGTCTCTCCTACCCAAATTCCTTTTATATCTATATTATTCCTGATGGTAGCCAAAAGCGATTCCAGGGATAATACATATAACAATGGAGACAGCGGGCATCCCTGTCTAGTTCCATTCTGCATCCCAATGTATTCTGATAACTCCCCATTAACCATGATTGCTGCCGATGGTTGACTGTATAATTTCCTTATCCATTCTCTCATTCTAGGTCCCATTCCCAATAATTCCAAAGTATTTGACATAAATCTCCAATTTACTCTATCAAATGCCTTTTCGGCGTCTATCGAAAGAACCACCACAGGGGTTTTCTCTTTCCTACTTTTTTGTATAAGAAACAATGATCTTAATCCATTATCTCTGCCCTCCCTCCCTGGGACAAACCCTACTTGATCTATATGTATCCATTCCAGCATTAGGTCTTTCAGTCTATTTGCCAAAACCTTTGCACATAGTTTAGTATCTGTATTTAGTAAGGAAACCCGTCTATAGCTTGAACAGTGAGTATCATCTTTACCTTCTATATGTATGAGTACCACATGAGCTTGTAGGGATTCCCTTCTAATTTCCATCTCTCCTCCTAAAGCATTCATATATGTCCTCAGTTTGGGTAATAATATTTATTCACATTTTTTATAGTATCTCACTGTATATCCATCGGGGCCTGGACTTTTCCCAGCAGCAGTACTTTTTAATGCTATATGTATTTCTTCCTGAGTTATTGGTATTTCAAGGATTTTTAATTGTTCTTCAGTTAATTTCGGCAATCCCGCCTTTTTTTATATATGCCTGTCTTCTTTCTATTTTTCTTACTTCCTCCTCTACTATATTACCATGAGGCTCAATATTATATAGCTTGGTATAGTATTCTTTAAACACTTTTACTATATCTTTAGTTGAATACACTAATTCTCCTTTATTATCTCTTATTTTCTCTGTATAATTCCTAGATTTTTTCTTCCGCTGAGCCCTCATTAAATACTTTCCTGGTATGTCGCCCCATCTATACCTCTCAGTTGTCATTCTGTTGTACACTCTTCTCTTATCTTCTTACAGGAACTTATTTAATTCTTCTCTTTTATATATTATCTTCCGCATAGTCTCCTTTGTTACTCTGTTTTTATGTATCTGCTCTAGATCACAGAGTTCACCCAAAAGCGTGTTAATTTTATCTCTTCTTTCCCTCTTCTTTTTGCTTCTATCGCCATTAGGATTCCTCTAATATAGGCCTTATGAGCTTCCCACACTGTGGCTACCGTCACTTCCTCAGATTCATTTTCCTAAAAAAATTGCTCAATTTCCTTCTTCACCCTCTGATCCAACTCCTGATCCTGTAGAAGTGTCTCATTTAGCCTCCATATTTTTCCACCCCCCTGCTCATTTCCCCATAGTAATTGCATTGTGACAGGAGCATGATCAGAAATTGACATAACTTCAATATTTACTTTAACCAGAGACTCAATGGGGTTTATTTACTAAAGCTGGAGAGTCCAAAATCACACTCCCTTCTGCATAGAAACCAATCAGCTTCTAACCTCAGCTTGTTCAATGAAGCTTTGGCAATGAAACCTGGAAGCTGATTGGTTTCTATGCAGAAGTGAGTCTGATTTTGCACTCTCCAGCTTTAGTAAATAAACCCCAATAAGTCTATGGTCCAACATTATATAATCCAGTCTTGAATACGCCTCATGTGCAGGAGAGTAAAACGTATAGTCTCTGTCCTTTATATGCTTAATTCTCCATATATCCACCAGTTGGCATTGAAATAGCATCTTATTTAACCTTTTCATCCGTGGATCCATACACAAGTTGAAATCCCCTGCCACAATCAAATTACCTTTTTTAAAATCCATTAATTTTAATTTCCTCAAAACATTTTTTAAATATACCTCCGGTTTCTTATTCGGGCAGTAAATATTTGCTAATGTACATTCTACTTCCTGCAGTCTTCCTTTCAAAAACAGGAATCTCCCTTCCAGGTCTACCAATCTTTCCTCCAACTTAAACCTTATACTTTTCGCAAATCCTATTGCCACACCCTTAGCACGTTTAATTGGGGAATCTGCATAGAACCACTCAGGATAATATCTAGATTGTAACTTTACATTATTTTCCTGTACTAAATGTGTTTCTTGTAGGAACACCACTGAAGAGAATCTGTGCTAAAGTTCTTTG